CCCCTCCTCCTCGTCCTCCTCCTCCTCCTCCTCCTCCTCCTCCTCCTCCTCCCTGTCAAGTAAGACTGCGTAGGGATCCCGGGGTACCCGAGCATGATCAAGGCTTTGCCACACGTTGTATCTCCTTCTTTCTGACAGGGCTGATGGGCCTGCGGCAGGCCTGCGCGCAGCAGGCAAGATGCCGCACCCTTCGAAAAGCAATGTAAAGCAATCGCTTGGCGCCCGCGCATGGTGCAGATTTGGCTGCAAAGTGCACCACGCTGTATGTTGTCTTTGGGCAGGGGTGGTGGGGGTGGGGGGGGGATGTTGGCATGGTTCTGGGTTCGCCCCCAGTGGGGTTGGGGAGGGGATGTGTATTCGTAAGGAGCAGTGAGGGGCCCCTCCTCGAAGGTGGAAGACGGGGGTTACGAGAGGAAGCGCGCTAGACCGCTCACGGCCGGAGGGGCTGGGGGGACTGCCGGGACGGCGGCGAGCGGGAAGGCACGCACGGCGGACCATGCATGCGTTGGCTTCAGTTATCCAGGGCGTGCCCGCCGCGGGTTCTACCATGCAGGCGAGCACCTCCCCTGTGCCTCCAGACGAGCAGCTGGTGCGCGAGCAGATCGATCGCCAGAGAGTAGCGCGGAATGGAACTGCGGAGTGCGAACTCAGCCCGCAGGAGCCGCGTTGTGCTGCTAGGCGGTGGGGGGGCACACCCAGTCATGCCAGCCAGGTTCTCAGAAACCGTTATCTGTCAGAGTGGATGAATCTGCTTTGCATTCTTCAGATCGCGCTGAGGTTTATCGCTGCCACCGGTGAGTATGCCGGTGAAAGCACCAATTGCTGGTCTGTTCACGTCGCCGAAGCACGGAGATGATTGAAGCACCTGATCAGGCTTACAAGAGGTTCCATGGGCGTCCTGGAGTCATCCCGGCTGCCTTTTGCAATCTCTTCAGGTGCCCGTTTGGTGTCTTGGGACCATCTTGGAACCGTCTGGGAGGGTCTTGACGTCTCGGAGCCGTCCTGTCCTGTCTTCGAGCCATCCTGGGCCGGCTTTGGTCAAGTCTTGGTCCGTGTTGGACGCCACCCAGGGACTTGGGAGGCCGTTGTGGGGCATTTGGTAACCGTGTGGTATATGTTTGGCGAAGCCATGGCGTGAGCGGCGCAACGGGCAAATGTGCCCCTTGCGGTTGTTCGGAAAGGCAGCCAGCAGCTCCTCACCAAACATGGTAGCCTGGCGATGGGCCCCTTTACGCAGCTGCGCGCAGCGCATGGCGTGGCCGGTGCGCCGCGGGGCAGTGCAGGTTAGGGGCTGCGGCCCAAGTGCGCAAAGGAATGCTGTTCTCCCTGAGGGGCACGAGTCGTTTGAGGGGTGTGCCGACGTGGGCGGGGAGGCGGCATGCGACCGCTGGCGCTGGGCTCGTAGTGAGGGGCAGGTCACGATCCGTGTGAGGCGTGTACTGACATGGCCGGTGGGCGGCACGTGAACGCTGTCTCTGGGGCCGTATGTTTAAGTCGGGCGTGTCCCCCTACAGGGGGATTTTCGACGAAAAGGTCAAGAAGGTCAAGAAATACTGAAAAAAATAGTCCCCAGACCTGTTTACATTATTATTATTCTTCTTCTTCTTATTATTATTGTTATTGTTGTTGTTGTTGTTGTTGTTGTTGTTGTTGTTGTTGTTGTTGTTGTTGTTGTTGTTGTTGTTGTTGTTATTATTATTATTATTATTATTATTATTAGTATTATTATTATCATTATCATTATTACTATTGGATTATTTTTGGGGTATTTCTTACTATTCGTCGAAAATTCCCCTGTAGGGGAACAGGCCCGACTTAACCGTATGTGGCGCTTCCCGAGGGGCACGATCCGTATGGTGGGTGTGCCGACGTGGGCGGTGGGGCGGCATGCGGACGTCGTCTCTTCGCGCCCCCAGCTGGTGCTCCCTAGTGACAGGAACACGGAACTTTTGAGGCGTGTGCCGGAATGGCCCAATACCTTCATCGAGTTTTCCATGCCGCGAGGATGTCTTGGCCTCCTTGGCGCCCCAGGCCTTATCTATCTATCTTTAATCCTCGACCCCGGATCCATTATCCTCGATCCTCGGCCCTCGACCCCCGAACTATCATCCCAGGTCCTCGATCGAGGTTCGGGGATCTTGGATCAGGGAGGAGGAGGGTGAGGCGGATGAGAAAGAGGAGGAGGAGGAGAAGGAGGAGGCGGAGGAGGAGGAGGATCGAGGAGGAGGAGGAGAAGGAGGAGGAGGAGGAGGAGAACGAGGAGGAGGAGAAGGATGAGGAGGAGGGGGAAGAGTAGTAGGAGTAGGATCGAAGAGGAGGATCGAGGAGGAGGATGAGGAGGACGATGATGAGGAGGAGGATGAGGAGGAGGAGGAGGAGGAAAAGGAGGATCGAACAGGATCGAGGATCGAGGAGGATCGAGGATGCCCCCCGTCATCCCCGCGGCCGACAGCCAGGATGCCTCGCGCGTCTTCACCGCCCTGCTGCGCGCCGGCGCGTCGCTGGAGGCGGAGATAGCCAGGAACCTCAGGATCTTCGGACCGCGGGCAGGGGGAAGGATGAGGAGGAGGAGGAGGAGGAGAGGACGAGGAGGATGGAGGAGGTGAGGGAGGAGGTGAGTGAGGATGGGGGAGGAGAAGGAGGAGGAGGAGGAGGAGGAGGAGGAGGAGGAAGGTGAGTGAGGATGGGGGAGGAGAAGGAGGAGAAGGAGGAGGAGGAGGAGGAGGAGGAGGAGGAGGGAGGAGGCAGAAGGGAGGATGAGGAGGATAAGAAGGAGCAGGAGGAGAAGGAGTCAGGAGGAGTGGAAGGATGAGGAGGAGATGGATTAGGAGGAGATGGATGAGTAGGATGATGGATGATGGATGATGAGTGATAGGTGTTGGATGATGGGTGGTGGATGATGATAACGGAAATGATGATGCTGCTGTTGTTGTTGATGATGATGATGATGATGGCGATGGCGATGATGATGCTGATGACGATGATGATGCTGTTGATGCGGTTGGTGATGCTGATGGTGATGATGATGGTGATGCCACTTACGATAATTGTGATGAGGATGCTGCTGCTGCTGATGATAATGATGCTGATGCTGACGATTATGCGGATGGTGGTGACGATGATGATACTGATGCTGCTGATGGCGACGACGATGCTGATGATGCTGATGATGATGAGGATGATGATAGTGGCGGTGGTGATACTGTTAATCATGCTGCTGCTGATGATGCTGATGATGAAGACGACAACGATGATGATGCTGAAGATGATGATGCTTGTGCTGCTGCTGATGATGATGATGCTGATGATGATGCTTGCAATGCTGATGATGCAACTGTTACTTATAATGTTGTTGATGATGGTGATGATGCTGCTGCTGATGATGATGATGATTCTGATGATGCTGATGACGATGCTTATTCTGCTGATGATTATGCTTATGCTGATGCTGACGATGCTGATGTTGACGATGGCATTGCAGATGGTGATGTTAATAGTGATGCTGAGGACGATGATGATGATGACGATGCTGATGCTTATGATGCTATTGCAGATGGTGATGCTGATGCTGACGCTGAGGACGATGCTGATGACGATGACGATGCTGATACTGATAATGTTGCTGCTGATGATGATGCTGCTGCTGATGATGATTAGGATGCTGATAATGTTGATGATGAGGATATTAAGGATGATGATGAGGTTGTTGCTGCTGTTGGTAATGATGATAATGAGGATCATGATGATGATGATGATGATGATGATGACGATGACGATGACAATGCCGATGATGATGCTGCTGATTGATGCCGGTGATGCTGATGATGCTGATGATGATGCTGATACTGATATTGATGATGATGCTGCTGATGATGATGATGCCGATGATGCTGATGATGCTGATGATGATGTTCATGCTGATGACGATGATGATGATGATGATGATGCTGATGATGCTGATGATGATGATGATGATGATCATGATGATGATGATACTGATGATGATGATGATGATGATTATGATGATGATGATGATGGTGATGATGTTGATGATGATGATGATGATGCTGATGCTGATGCTGATGCTGATGATGATGATGCTGATGCTGATGCTGATGCTGATGATGATGATGCTGATGATGCTGAAGCTGATGCTGATGCTGATGCTGCTGATGATGATGATGATGATGATGATGATGATGAGGATGATGATGATGATGATGATGATGATGATGATGATGATGATGATGATGATGATGATGAGGTGAGGATGAGGATGATGATGATGATGATGATGATGATGATGATGATGATGATGATGATGATGATGATGATGATGATGATGATGATGATGATGATGATGATGATGATTGATGTTGATGATGATGATGATGATGATGATGATGATGATGATGATGATGATGATGATGATGATGATGATGATGATGATGATGCTGATGATGATGATGATGATGATGATGAGGATGACGAGCTGGAGGAGGAGGAGGAGGAGGAGGAGGAGGAGGAGGAGGTCGAAGAGGAGACGGAGGATGAGAAGGAGGAGGAGGAGGAGGAGGAGGAGGAGGAGGAGGAGGAGGAGGCGGTTCAGGAGGCGTAAAGAGGGTGGAGGATCGTCCCGGTGGCTCGGGGTGCATGCCGCTGCTAAGCGGGCGTTGTGGGGACGAGAGCCTCCCGAACACGCCGCCCAGCCAGCTCGCGCTCCCAGCGGGCCTCACCCCAGGGCGGGCGGGCGGGGGACCAACCTCGTTGGCCGGCGAGCAACGCTCGGCCGCCACCCTGCTCGGGGTGCCCGGCCAGTGTGTGTGTGTGTGTGTGTGTGCCCCGCCCCAGCCGGGCGGAGTCGCCAGGCCAGCGCGCAGCCGAGACCCGCGCGCGACGGCACAGCACCGCGGCACCTGCGCGCGAGGGCACGGCACCACTGCGCGGCACGGCACACGACGTCACCGCACCACGGCACGACGTTGGTTGTCTCAGGCCGAGATGGAGACCGCAATCTCTGCGGTTGCCGACCCGCTGAAGAACGAGATGACGGACTTCTGGAGCTGCTTGGAGATTGCTGAGTCCAGGCCAGATTCAGCAACGGGCTCGATCGCCAGCTGGCACCAGCACATCTTGAGCGCCAGGGCCCCTCGTGGTACGAGCCCGCACTGCATCGCGGCAAGGAATCGCACGCCGAACTCGCGCGCTCGAGCGAAGCAGCGGGCCGCCCCCTCCAAGGAAGGACGTGCCGCCGCACGGCCTCCCCCCGACGCCCCTGCTGTCCTGCGGACGGCACGGTGTGGAGTGCCTGCCCTCCGGCGCCGAGGGCACCACCTCCGACCCGTAGTGGGCCACCACAGAGCTGCCAGCCAACCCTGTATCCCCCCCCGAGGCACGAGCTGCCCTGCCAAATCTCTCGTCTGCTTTGCAGGCGTTCTCAGGCAGCAGCGATCGGTCCTGTTCGCCTTGCTCGCCCCGCGGGCAAGGCCAGCGGTGTCTGCCAAGCTATTCAGATCTGCTCAATTCAACCGAAGCACAGACAGAACTTGCCCACGCAATTTCAGAAAAGTGGGCCCGTTCTGAGCAGCAAAAACCCACCCACCCACCCAGTACACCGTGGCTTGATTGCCACGGGTCGACGTGCATCTTGACTGAAATGCCCCCCCACCACAATTGAATTGGATACACGTACTTCAGACCTCTCTTGGGCCAGCCTTGAACCCCCCGCCAAACCAGCTGGCACAGTGCCAGCGTCTCGGCGCGCCGCGTGTCCTCTAGCCTCCACGATTCCACGCGACCCCGCGGCCGTTTAGCAGAGAAGCCGTGGCTCCTTTGCAGCATCAGCTGCACAGGATCCGTCAGAGCGCGGGCGACGGCCTGGCCAGCATCCGCCAGCGCGCGAGGCTGCGGTATCTGCCTGCGGATCCGGGCTGTTGCCAGCAGTTCTGGCGCCGCAAGCGCCTGGCCAGTGCCGCGCGGGCTCCCGCCGGGGCGCGCCAGTTCCGCCGCGGCCGCGTCTGGGACTCGCCGTCTGCCGCGCCCCCGCGCGCTGGTCGCTGCGAGCTCGCGCCCGCCCGCTCGGCCCGGCTGCCAGGGCGCGCCAGCTCCACCGGGAAAGCGCCCGTGCAAGCTCTCACACGAGGCCAGACTCCGCGAAGCTCTCCTCGACTGGATCGCTCAACGTCTGCGCGCCCCGTCGCCCCGTCACGGGCCAACCGAGGCTCCGTCTCGACGTCGTCCTCTGGCCGCGCCTCCACCGGCACTGCTAGCAGGACGTCCTCCGGCCACGCTGCCCGGCCAGCGTTGGCGCTGGCGCTGTGGCCAGCAGCTGGCAGGATCATGCAGGATGGCTTGCTGGGGATCTCTCATCAAGCCGCTCGAGTCCTGTGGCGGCTTCGGGGGAAACGCAGAGGATAACGCAGCGGCGACGCTCAAGATTCAACGGGGCCCGCGCGCCCGCTGCGAACAGGGCCCACGCCTCCCTGAAGCCGAGATGCGGCCACCTGCGCCTAGAGGCGCCTCGAGCTCTATATAATGCACTCAGGCAGCCTCCAAAACCCCACCGGAGGGGAATTGGGGAGAGGCGGAAAGAGGGTGGGGAAGGGCCACGATCCCCTCCAACGACCCCCTGTGTGACTGCGCTGGAACGCAGATTCAGCGCACTGGCGAGGAAGCGACGGCAGCGGACGATCACCTTCTTCCCGTGCTTTCCGTTGGCGGCAGTCACATGCGCAAGCTTCTCCACGAAGTGTTCGCTGGCCACTGCCATGCAAGTTCTTGGAATCCACATCCCACCAACTCTCGCGGAGTGCTGGCGTCGCCGCGTTCCCCGGACGGGCCATCGGCCAGATTTTGTTTTGACGGCGCTCTCCAGGCTGAAAGCTGGTGCCCTTGGGTCCGCGGCGGCGAACAACATTTCGGAAACCAACTTATTCCAATCGGCTTGTGTGGAGCAACTACCAGAATCGCCCCGAGCGCGACTCGCGACTGCCGAATATATACAAAAGCAAGATGTCAGCGCCAGTGCTGCGAATCAGGTGGGAGATCTGTCACAAACCGCGCACGGCGGCAATCAGCTCTCACGTGCTGATTTGCACCTTGCGGGGCCGCGCCAAATCCTTGAGGCGCCGAAGGATTGTCGCGCGGGGGAATGCCCACGTGGGCACAACAACGGCATCCCGCGCGACCGAAGCGCCGCCAGTGGCATCAGTAGGCAACATCAGCCGCGGTAGCTCCCGAGGCGGCAGCGGGGCGCGCCTTGCTGGGCGCGTCAACAACAGCCGCGACTACCATTCCAGCGCGCGGCGCACCGTGGCCTCCCAGACATCTGGCACCCCGTGCACCCTTGTGGTGAGCCAACAGGGAGCGGCGGATCTGGTGGCCCTCGGCCCATCCCGCCACTGTGCCTGGGTTGTAGATCAGAGGCCTCCTGGATGCATGCCTGTGAGTATTCCTTGGGAGGCCTCTTGATGCCACTAAGACGCGGGTTTTGCGGTGTCTTGGGGCCTGATTTGGGCCTCTCGGAGTCTCTTGGGGGCCTCTTGGGGACTCCTGGGCGCACATCGGCGGCTTGTGGGGGGATCTTGGGGCCATCTTGGGGCGGAGGGCTTGTGCCGTCTTGGACGCTCTGAAGACGGAGACGGCGGCAACGCGAACTCCAGACAAAACACATGGACGTTCACGATTGTGGCTTCTTCGGCCGTCCTTCAGAGCCACCAAGAGGGCTCTAGCACGATCCCCGCGGCCATGTAAAACAGTGTTGGACATGCATCTCCTGAACAACGCGCTCGTGGCCTTTCGAGAAGTCGCGCGGGGACCCCCTGGGAGCGCCCAGGAGCGCGCGGGGTAGCGCCCAAGAGCTCCGGGGAGCGCCTGGAACTCAGGGCTGTGGCCCCCTTGAAGAATACTAGCAGAACTCAGTGCAGCAGAGAACTCGAAACAACCCGAGGGCACTCCAATCTCGTGCCAGAGGGCACGATGACGGAGACATAATGAAAAGGGGTGGAGGATGACGAGGAGGAGGTTCGAGGATCGAGATCTGAGGACGACGGGTCGAGGGTCGATGATCGAGGACACCGAGCGGCGAGGAGGGTGAGGAGGGTCCACGATCGAAC